GAAATTGAAGTATTTCTCTATCTATAAGTATGGTAAGAGATTTAACCATGTTTGACGAAGGGTTAGTTCTAGATGAAAATTGAAGTATTTCTCTATCTATATAAGTATGGTAAGAGATTTAACCATGTTTGACGAAGGGTTAGTTCTAGATGAAAATTGAAGTAATTCTCTATCTATATAAGTATGGTAAGAGATTTAACCATGTTTGACGAGGGGTTAGTTCTAGATGAAAATTGAAGTATTTCTCTATCTATAAGTATGGTAAGAGATTTAACCATGTTTGACGAGGGGTTAGTTCTGGATGAAAATTGAAGTATTTCTCTATCTATATAAGTATGGTAAGAGATTTAACCATGTTTGACGAAGGGTTAGTTCTAGATGAAAATTGAAGTATTTCTCTATCTATATAAGTATGGTAAGAGATTTAACCATGTTTGACGAGGGGTTAGTTCTGGATGAAAATTGAAGTATTTCTCTATCTATATAAGTATGGTAAGAGATTTAACCATGTTTGACGAGGGGTTAGTTCTAGATGAAAATTGAAGTATTTCTCTATCTATATAAGTATGGTAAGAGATTTAACCATGTTTGACGAAGGGTTAGTTCTAGATGAAAATTGAAGTATTTCTCTATCTATATAAGTATGGTAAGAGATTTAACCATGTTTGACGAGGGGTTAGTTCTAGATGAAAATTGAAGTATTTCTCTATCTATATAAGTATGGTGAGAGATTTAACCATGTTTGACGAAGGGTTAGTTCTAGATGAAAATTGAAGTATTTCTCTATCTATATAAGTATGGTAAGAGATTTAACCATGTTTGACAAAGGGTTAGTTCTGGATGAAAATTGAAGTATTTCTCTATCTATATAAGTATGGTAAGAGATTTAACCATGTTTGACGAAGGGTTAGTTCTGAATGAAAATTGAAGTATTTCTCTATCTATATAAGTATGGTAAGAGATTTAACCATGTTTGACGAAGGGTTAGTTCTAGATGAAAATTGAAGTATTTCTCTATCTATAAGTATGGTAAGAGATTTAACCATGTTTGACAAAGGGTTAGTTCTGGATGAAAATTGAAGTATTTCTCTATCTATATAAGTATGGTAAGAGATTTAACCATGTTTGACGAAGGGTTAGTTCTGAATGAAAATTGAAGTATTTCTGTATCTTTGTAGGTGATTATGGAAAGAGACAAGATGAAGACTGATCTATCAGCTTTGTTTATGCCCAGACAACCAATGATGCCAAAAGAAGAAGCAGTAAGTATGCCATGCAGTGTGCAATGAAGGAAATTTTGCCAGAACAGCAGCATTAGCCAGCTTGTTTTCAATTTCCAACTGTTGAGAGATCTTTAACGTGCACAGTCTGTAGCAGATAGGGCCTTGGTTTATTGTCCCATCTGAACGACTGGATGTTTTTTTGCAAGCGCCACTGACCTATATCAATGACAGGGTTTCAATTGTTATCTATCTTCCGGAGACCAAGTTTTCTATTTAAAGTTTGGTTTGTTTCAGGATCAACTGACGCTAGACTGGAATGAAGATTTAGACGGAATGGAATCTTTTGTGTTGGAGGGGAAGAAGTTTGTCCGATTACCAGAAGAAGAACTTGGTAGGTTACGGCACTTTTTCACTTAACCCTTTCAGATCTCTTCCTTAACTCACTGGATGTAAAACTCCATTCATTTCATTAGTAGTACTTAGGGTTTTTATCTCTTACCTCCCTGATTATTCCTTTACGTTATTTTATCTCCCAATATATTATTACAGGAATGTTTTGTAGTGAAGATTGTTATGTATTTCTATGCCGATATTGGGTTCCCGTGGAAATACCTGAAGATGAAGAGGAAGATCCTGATGAAGAACCACCAGAAGATGAATATCGTTGTATCGTTTATTTCTGGCAGGGACGTAACGCTAGTAATATGGGTTGGCTTACTTTCACTTTCAGGTATTTATGGTCTATAAGTCATTCTTTGCTCATCCCTTGACAGTGGACTGTTTGGTAAATTTCCCTCATTGCACACTGCATATCATTGTCAGTACTCAGATGCTGAATAGCCTCCCCTTGAGTCATTAACTTCATATGAATAGACTATTTGGTTTTTAAAAATTCCCTCATTGTACACTGCAAAAACTTGACTGAATATTAAATGTAAAACTTAATTTTTGTTTCTATTTTTTATTTTCAGTTTACAGAAGAAGTTTGAGTCGTTATTTAAAGATAAACTAGAAGTTGTTCGACAATTTCAACAGCAAGAAAACCTCAAATTCTTATCACATTTTAAACATAAATTTATTATTCGAGAGGGAAGTCGTAAAGTCAAGATGGACCCCACAATAAAACCATTGACTGAGTTTTACCACCTACGGGCTAACGGTAGTCCTATAGCTACTAGATGTGTTCAGGTAAGAGATAGGGGGTCAGGTTTTGGGCAGCTCCTAATAGTTGTGGTAACTTGGGGGTAAGAGAAGATTGGGGGAAGTAAAACCCTCACAGAGAACAATAGGTCTATAGCCATTCCACGTTCTAATTTCTCTGAAATCTTGTGGTCAACTCTTTGCACATTTTAAGGAGTTAGTTTATTACCTCATTGAAGTCTGGAAATTAGAAGTTAAATTTCCAAAATGAGAACTTGAATTGAGGTTTATGAGTAAAGTTATCAGCAGTATTGTATCTTACTTGGTTTTTGAATTATCTTTTAAACTATTCCACACTGAACTAATATACCATTCTATTTTTATTACAGTTGATAAAGGCAGATTCTTCTTTACTCAATTCTTGTAATTGGTAAGTTTTTACTCCATTGTTGATTTGTTTTAACTTTCATCTCTTCATTTAAAATAGAATTAGACATTAGTACGAGCTTAGATTATAACAATAGTTACTGTGAATGGTGGATAAAATTCTGGAGATTAACTCGGTCTATTTAAACTTACACCACCACTTCAGTTAGGGTCTTGTGACAACTCTATTGAACGTTTGTCAAATTAACTTTTGACCTAAGTCGATGATGTCTGCTTCAACCCTCAGTGCAGTGGATATATTAAAAATAAAATCTAATAAAAATGGAACAAGTAAGACTAGAATAACTTTTTGAAGACAGACATGGAACCAACCTAGAGGGTGTAATGTGTCTATTTATTTTATAGTTTTATATTGATGGTACCGTTTGATAGTGAGGATTTGAAGGGTATTGTGTATGTTTGGGTTGGAAGTAAAGCAGATCATGATGATGCTAAGATTTCAGAAGATATCGCCTACATGATGTATAAGGTAGATAACTCTGTTACTTTCAATAGAACACATTCGCTGTGGTTTTTCTTCAATCTGAATATTAGTGATGACATCTCACGTTCAGTTATTTTCACAAAAACCAAATCCTTATTGGGATATGATCCAATTTTAGTTAGGTCCAACAAGTTAACCATGGACCAACTTGGTTGTTACCTTTATAAAATATCAGTTTTTCTGCCTGTATTTTTAATTAAGATTCTTGAATTTTGGAAATGAAAGAAGAGTGGGTTAACCAGGCATACTATACCCTCATTGTACACTGTAAGGCATAGCTTGTCTTCACTAATCTCAAAACTGGAGCTGAATAGTACGACACGAAACATTTCATTTTTTAAATTTTGCAACAATTTATCAGTTTTTTTTAGGATAATTACAAACTTTCTAATAATAGACACCAGGTTTTATGTTTTTATCTTTATTTTGAAATGTTTTTTTCTGTTTTTTAGGATAATTATACTATTCAGATGATAAACGAAGGTGAAGAACCTGAGAATTTTTTCTGGGTAGGAATCGGAGGTCGTAAACCTTATGATAAAGATGATGATTTTATGAATTATATCAGATTATTCCGATGTTCCAATGAAAAAGGATATTTTACTGTTTCTGAAAAATGTGCTGATTTTTGTCAGGTAGGATAGTTTAAAAATTAAAATCTTGTTTCAGTTCTCTTACCCATTTAGCTTGAATCTAGACAGTGAAAGACATGTTAATTTATCAGTTTCATGTCTCCTATTGATGATCTTTTTTGCAATGCTAATCGAATGCGTTTTTAGTCTATGATACAGGTGGGAAAAACAGACATGAACATGTCCAACACGTTTACATTTTCTATTTGTATTAAATTCGGAAGCTTGTAGAACAGTATGGACTTCATGTTGATATATAAATTGCTGGACCTCTTATTTCAGATTTTTTATTTTTAACTATTTTTTTTAGGATGACCTGGCTGATGATGATGTCATGATTTTAGATAACGGACAAAATGTCTTCCTGTGGATAGGAAAGAAAACAAGTGACGTAGAAATTAAACTTGCTTTTAAAAGTGCACAGGTTGGTATCTTGATAAAACAGTCTTTTCTGGATGTTACTGGCTTCTCATTGTTCAATAACACTATAAAATCTTTCTTACCTCCCCTTCATGAGTTTATAATTCTTGTCTCTATCATTGTTCGTGTAAACAATACCATTTCTAATATCTGTATTTTAAGAGTTTTTCTTGTAAGTGTATCTGATGCTGACTAGTGCAGGACATTAATATTTCTGCCTTCTCCAGCTCTGACAGTTTGTGAGAGAGTGATGGGATTTGATTGGTTAAAGCAGATGTCATCAGGTTAGGTCAAAAGGTTATATTGACGGAATGTTTAAGAGATGTATTTCTATATTCTAAGTGTTTCAAACCATCTTCTATTTATTTCAGGTTTACATTCAACACATGAGAAACAAACAACCAGACAGACCGAGGAAACTTTTACTAGCCATGAAATATAAAGAAAACAGAAGATTTACAAAATGTTTCCATGGTTGGGGAAAATATAAAGAAGTTCCAACATGAAACATTATTTTTTTAGTTTAATTCATTCTCTAGTCGGTCAAACTAAAAATGTGTTAGCTAAAAACATTCAGAAAGTTATTTTTTGTTTCTAGAAAATGGTTTTTGAAAATCAAATTTTGTCTTTTATCTGCAATGAACAAAAACATATTCCTTTCTCAACGAATCAACGTACAATATCTCATGTGAACTAAAATAAGATTTGAACCATGTGGTCACTAGACAAATTTTAAGTTTCTTTCAAAAAATCTACTTCAAAAGATCAGTAAAACAGTTTTAAATCTATTCCACATTTTCATCCATTCAACATTGGCTTATTTTCTGTTACATGGAAATCATTCATTACGAATATCTCAATCAGGTGACAATATGACGGATAGCTTGTGTTACTTTCCATTTTAGTTTGATCAATTATAGTGTGAATATTTAACTTATAAAAATTGCTCCCATATTTTAGTCTTTCTCTAATTATATTTTTATAGATTCTGTGTATAATATTCTAAACCTGGTTATTACTGGAAAGTTCATTTGTTTTTTGTGTCATTTCCTGGCTTATTATAGAAATGGTATTTAATAAAAGTTGTATTATTATGTTGAGACAGTTCATTAGAACTACCCTTCATTTGCAATTCAATATTTGCATTTTTAGGGATATATAAAATGATCCCAATTGCCAATTTATTATTCTAATCTTCTCAGCAGAATGCAGCAATAAATCTTCTTCTCTTCCCAATTCTAGCTTTCTCTTTAAACCATCCACTGGAATAGATTTGTCCTCTATTACTGCTCTGTATTTAATACTATTGTTTTTTTTAATATTCATAGATTATACATTATATATATATAAACTGTGGTTTCAGAAACAAACTGAAGCTGATATTAATGTTTCTATTTAATCAATATGCTTTATAAACTTAGTGCAATATAGATCAGAACAAATTAAATAGAGACTGTATAGATCATATAGTCATTCAGTGCTTGTTTAGGACTATAGGTGCTTAGATAGGACTCTAGGTGCTTAGATAGGACTCTTGGTCCTCAGGCTACTAATTTCAATTTTATAAATGAATCAATTATTTAAAAAAAACTATTATGATACTATGTTATACATAGTGTAAGAAAGTTGTAGACTGTAGAATCAGAACAATTATTTTCATATTTCAACCTATTATTGATATGAATTAAAATACAGATTTGGAAGAAGTTTTTCTACCCTCTTTATGTTTATCAGTGACATAGTATAATTCATGTCTTTAGGAACAGTAATATATATTATAGATAATATCGTACGGTTGCTATAGAAACATGGGTAAAATTTAGACTATGCGCTATTCTCTCTGATGTCTGTAAATACCGATAAGAAAAGATAATGAACTATTTACACCACTATAGTAAAATGATATTTGTGATTGTTGTATTTTCATCTGGTCAGGCATATTGATTTACAGGGAGCCCAGGAAATGAGAATAGTATCCCTGATATTCAGAGAAAATCTAGAAACTCTCTTTTTATCCTATAAAATAATTGATAAAGAAAATTTAAGAAAGTTGTAATCAATAAATCTAGAGTTTGTATCATAGTCTTGCTGTAAATAAAACTTTTATAAATATTTAATATCAATATCAGTTTTCTCTCAAACATATAGATTCTTGGTAAGTATAACCAAAATAGATTGTATTTTTTCACTATGGTATTAACCCAAGTTCCCCTGCCTTCTCCAATTTTTGCATCGTGGCTGTATCTAGTGCCCCCAACCTTACCCAGCTGTAACAAGTGTTTCCAACCTTCCCAACCACTTTAGGGTCTGAGGGTATGGACATTTTTGGATCTCCAAGGATCCAGGGTCAAGTGATAGCTCTGGGATAAGAATTAAGTCTCCACCCCAACGCCAGGGATGAATTGGTGTTTGAGCTCAGATTTTGTATTAAGAAAATTTGAAGAATTACAGGCCCAGAGAACTCATTTCTGACAATTTTGAGGTGCTAAAACGTATCAAATTCTATATCTTTTTGTTTTGTTCAAAGACACTGTAAATGAATCAATCTCTGCTGAACTGAGGAAGGTTTTGCTGGGATCCAGCCGCCACGGACCCCACCCTAACGACTAACGGGGCTGAATTAAGTCATTCTATAAATGATTACAGTTATATTTCTGTTAAGAAACTAGCACAATGTAGAAAGATATCACTATACGAATTTTTCTGCTATTTACCTGGTAAATTTTCTTCATAGAATATTAAGTTGAATTGTCTCCCTTTAATGATAATCTTTAACCCTTCTCATTCGAAAAGTAGGTTGGAAAATGATCAGTGTTTTAACACTTTATACGCCACTTTCTTGAAGAGAACAATTCAGTCTTATTTTTCATACTCGTTAAACGGTCTGTAACTTATTATACAGGTGTGAACTGCCAGCTACGACCCCTAAAAACAACCCCTGAAACTCGCCAGAATAACACCATTAGGGCCCATTAATCCCTTTTCAAATAGTGATAAAATTATGACCCGTGGGGTAAAAAAGTGTGACAGGATTTTGACACCCTACCCCCGGGGCGTCCAGGGCATGTATTGAATATAAGTAAATTTGAATCTAATGAGACTATTTCCGTGCCAAAACAATGATGGACTACTTCAATACCCACAATGGTGTAAAAGTGTTTGTTTTCGGGGTTTGGATCAATATTGAACTTCTCGTCTAGAAATCTTCAACAATATTTTTCTTGAGTTTCAAACCTTAGAGCGGCCATTCTTTGTATTTTTGCAAACTTCTAAATTTGTCCTAGCGAAAATACCCCACCCCCTTTAGTGCCACTAGATAATCTTATCATTCCCACTTGAAGTCTGTGGCCTTGAAATCTTCAACAATATTTATTATGGGTTTAAAATCATAGATGGTTTCCCTTTGTGTAGGTTTTGAATCATGAATTGGTTTTATATTGGCTAAGACTTCAATATCCATAACTATGGCGGTTGGGGGTTGATAAGCATATATACTTTTTTCGTGGAAAGAATGACACAACAAAATCCAATTCCATTTTGTCATTCAAAGTGACGTTCGTAGTAAATCATTAATTTTGCGATATTATTATTACAATGTTACACAATGTAGGCCTTTTACTGTATTATGTAGCTTATTTTCTTAAGTTCTTACGGGCCTAGACTTGTAAATCGTCAATAATTATCACAGGCTTATTACAGATTAAATTTTTAACTCATTTCCAATCCCAAATTCAAACTTCGGGTGATTTAATGGCGATGAAAATCATTTTCCATTAGGAATTCGAGAAAAAAATCGCCAAGATGGAGACGACCATATTTCGGTAGTGAAAGAAAACGTGTGAATATTACAGGTTTAATAAATATCAACGGATTAACGGCGTTAATCCACTTCACGACTAATCCGTTAAGAAATTAACGATTAATTTAGAGAACGGATATCGTCTGCTCGCTAGTGTTGGGTATAAAGAGAAGAGTTATCGTTCCTATTTACTCGAGGTATAAAGATGGCGCTACACGATAATTACAGATACACGGCGCGACCACAGACAGGTGCATCAGAAATTCAAAATGAAAACATGTTAGAAACAGTTAGATTGAACTGAGTATATCTTGTGAACTGCCATCATGTCGACGGGAACGGATTATTCGGATCGTCCTCATGGGGAAAATTTACCAGTGACTTCGCGGTGTATTGCTATAGTTTTATCTCGGGTGCATCGAGATGTTACTTTTGAAAACGAGCAGTCTTTCTTCAGTGAAAACAATGGAAAAGAGTTGTTGTCGGATTTCAAACTTCGTAACAAAACTTGTTACTGGAACCCTGGATTAATTGAAAGCATCGCCAGTTTGGAATATTTAGGTTTTGTGAAACCAAGTACTTTGTTAGTGGTTGGAAAAAATTTGGAAAATATTCGTTCTGCTTGGGGCAGTCGTGTTTTGAATGCCCCGGACGGGTTCGCTATTGTCAGAATAGGTGAGTGTCTTCTTCAATTCAAATATAACCGTTTCGTTTCACATTAATCATTTATATCCCTTGACATGTTTGATTTTCTTGAAAGCTTGAAGAAATGGGAGTTTTACGTCTGACTGTATTTTACTATAGATATAAAACGTAGTATTTGATAGTAAAACTAGACCAGATTTCTCCAGTGTAATTGTTACAATGTGTAACTATGTTGATAGTTTAGTAATGATATAATGGAGAAAACATATGGTTAATACTAGAAGACTGGAATGATAATGCCCTGTTGATTGTGGTATATCAACTCAATTACAGTGAGAAATAATGTTTTTGCTGTGGTATACAAATGATAATGCCCTGTTGCTTGTGGTATTTCCAGGAAAATATGGGGTATATTATATGAGGTATAATGCCTGTCTAGCAATGATATAATGATAACCCCTAGTTTACTGTGGTATATCAAGTGGGGTATATCAGATGAATATCAACTAAAAGGCTGTGCATATGAGATGTATTGCCTTTTGTTGTATGATTCAATCAAAAATATAAATATCTTAGAGAAAAATCAAGCTTGAACTAAAACTAAGAGAGAGACTCCAATCTCATTTGCACAAATTTTTTCTGATGCCAAATCAAGTTCGCTCTCTCCTTTGGCATGGCTCTGCCTCACATGGATCCGCCCTAACACTGTACAGATTTTTTCTGATACCTGAGACTTCCTGCCCCCTAGTATTAAATCTAGGATTAGGACGAGGACTAAAAGAGGTTTAGCTATCTGTGATCTGTTTGCTGTTTACAAGATTAACTTAATTCAATCTATTTGACTAACTATAACCTTATATAACTTCAATTATAACTTTACATTCAGAAGAGGTTTCAAGGGTTTTTTTTGTGGGTAAGTGGATAAAAATATGAACATTTTGTTCCTTATATTGGGTGGGGGGGGGATCAGTACCACAATGAAACTGTTGATGCTTCTGATTGGGTACATGATTTTTGGAATAAAGAGCTAAGACTGGGATCCCTGAGCTAATTAGGGGCCAGACTGAACACAGAGAGTCCTGATTAATCACACAAATTTTGGGAAATGAGGGCTAGGGCAGGGAACATGAAGTATTGGTGGCAAGGCTGACCTCTATCTATTATTGATGGTTATATAACTCACAGTAATTCTGTTAGCTAGGGAATTTTAGTCACTAGGGATGTCGGTCAACTCGAGTCAGGGACACAAAGACCTCTGATTAGGGACAAGAGGTTGAAAGCCGGGGAGGATTAGTGTTTAAGATTCCTGAGCTGGGGTAAACATTCTTTGTTCAGTTTGGTTTGAATTTCGTTTGATTTTACAAGATTAGGGATTGTGGAATTTAAATTCTGGGACTTGATTAAAACATCCTCTCCCCAACCATCTGAACCACTCACCTTGTTATTTTATATTTTAACAACCTCTCCCTCCAACCTGAACGAGTGATAGAGTGAAGCCAGGTTAAAACATTTGGAAAGTAGTCTTGAAAACTACAGCATATTTCATTAATTTTTCACTTTAGTAAGTAAACCATGAAAAATAGTGATAGGGTTTTTAAATCAGCCAATCATCACACTTTTTTGTAAAAATGAACACACACAAAATGCATGACAATTAAATCTATATGGCCACCCCTGGACTTGATTTCTATCATCAGGTCAAAACAGTTACACCCTTTTTCCATTTTTCTGACCTGCTTCTCTGAGCCTATGTTGAGGTTCATCAAGTATTAAACCAAATTTTCAGACACTATTTTACGAATATTGAATTTTAAAGAATTTGTTGATGTATTGAGATGAAGGAAATTGTCCCACTGGAAGGACAAAACGCTTTTTCCATGTCAGTCCTACTAACCTGCATCACTGACAGGGGAAACCAGATTGAAAAATCTGAAGATATTATCTCAAACTATATTGAATTTGAAAGAATTTTTAATGGATAAGATGAAGGCAACTGGCCCGTGATCATCTGATGTCATTTATATTAGTTTTAATTAATCTAATGGCTAATTAAGATGTCTTAATTATGATGAAAGAAAAATATCCATTTACCATATTTAATGTGACTATTAGATATACCTTTATACTCAGACATAATTTTCATAAATATTGATAAACCATTGATTTTTGCATTTTCCACATAAAAATTTGATGTCAAATAAATATGAAATATCATTCGACTGTAATGGGTTATCTTGGGCAATATATTAGTAACAATTTGATAAAATAAAAATTAGGCACAGCTCTAAGTCTAAGTATGGTATTCAGAGGGCAAAAAAAACAGGGTTGATGCAGTTCTCTGCCTGCAGGGAAAACATTGTTTCATGTCTTAATACTTGGTTAAAAAAATAAATCAACAGTAATTATATCAACACACAAATTTAAAATTTATCAAAAATCTTATATCAATTTGGGGGTAAAGAAATTACTGACACTTTTTGCTCTTTTTCTGCAGGAAAGACATCAGTTTGTGTCATAAAAAGGCACTTTCTTGCTCTATAAGTTTGATAAAATCAGACAGAGAATATTTCAACTCAACCATTCATTAAGTTTATCTGATGTCTAATATTATTATTAGGTTTATCAAGTATAATATTTTGATAGTTCAGTTGAAGTATTTGTTTAAAAGATAAGAAGCACTTGAAGTTACGTGTAATATATTATATTGTTAATAACTATACCTGATTTTAATATAATATCTTAACTTGTTAAATACTTATACCCCCCCCCCCCCCCCCCC